AAATTCAAAAACAAACAAACAATTAACTTCAAATAATGTAGTAAATTATTGAATATTTCTCTAGAAAAAAGTTAATAAATGGATTTTGTTAACCAAACAAAGCTAATCATTTTTTACTGTCTGTATGAAACAATTAAAAGTATCTACGTATTGTACCTCTAAAACAAGATAACCCATTGAAGAGAAATAAAATTCACCAACAACCCAGTTAGAAGTGGCATTCTTTAACTTTATTTATATTTTTTACGTTCCCGCTGCAGGGTCGTCGTAGACGAAACTGTTTGTAGAAATGTATGTTGTTCTTGCAGTAATTCATTTAGTAGAGGAGCATCAATCTTTTTCTGAAAAATATTTTTTCCCGTCCTCACGGTGTTCTGTTAAATCAATTTCTTAATCTTATATTTGGTGTGTTTAAATATCAAACACTTTTTATTCCACCCCTGCAGTATAGATAAAATATAAATGACGCATTCAATATTTGTACAACTCTCTGCCTGGGTATCATTGTCTATTTGTTGTTGTTCTTCTTTTTAACCTAAAACAAATAGTTAATTCTGTGTTGAAAACTAAATATTTCAAGAAGGATGCAACTAATTTCTTAGGCATTTCGAATTCGTAATATCTATATTTTAAAGATTATTCGCTACAATCCGTGTTGAAAATCGTGGTACTACAGTTGAACAGAGACTCGTGCGTGACGTACTTCCCTTCATGCGTGACGTATTTCCTTCACGGATTGGCACCTTGGAAAAACTTATCATCTTTGATTCAAGATACTGGAACTATAAAACATCAAGTGCATACGACCTTTACTTTTTTCTTTTAGAGAATAAAATATGCTTTCAGTTTACATACAACTTTAATAAGAATGATTGATGATATTTCTGTAACTGCAATTAATTTACGAGGATGAAATTTTGTATGACTTAATTATCACGTTAGATAAACAATTATAGTGTGTCCAAATTGAACGTCATTGGGTTAGTTTTGTGAAACTGCTTCCCTAGAAAGCAAAAAAAAAAAAAAATGGATGTCTTAAAATGTACTTCATAATAGTGTTAAGACATTAAGTGTCATTACTCAGACAAGTCGCCTCCAAACTTTTATTAAATTCTGTCTTACGATCACAAGTAAAACAAAGGGACAGGGCTCCGGACCATGTGCTAACACATTTTATGTGCAATATGTGGGGACTTTATTTTTTGTATTTAATTATATAATATAAAACTGTCTATAATTCATATCTTTAACATTTTGTGACTAAGTAGTATTAATCAAATACTTACTTTGTATATACACAAATATATGAAAGTTGGTCTAAAGGTTTTAGAAACAGGCTGATTAAATCCATGTCATGTGGGCCTATCTTAAGATTGATCTAAAGATTTTAGAAACAGGCTGATTAATTCGATATCCTGTGGGCCTATCTTAAGATTGATCTAAAGATTTTAGAAACAGGCTGATTAATTCCATCTCCTGTGGGCCTATCTTAAGACTGATCTAAAGATTTTAGAAACAGGCCGATTAATTCCATCTCTTGTGGGCCTATCTTAAGACTGATCTAAAGATTTTAGAAACAGGCCGATTAATTCCATCTCCTGTGGGCCTATCTTAAGACTGATCTAAAGATTTTAGAAACAGTCCGATTATATCCATCTCCTGTGGGCCTATCTTAAGACTGATCTAAATATTTTAGAAACAGGCTGATTAATTCCATCTTTTGTGAGCCTATCTTAAGGTTGGTCTAAATATTTTAGAAACAGGCTGATTGATTAAGAAATGCTGAATATCTAAATTTTTCCTGCAACTCACTGTTGTTTCTGTTGCTTTTGTCAAGTGGAAGCTACATCGGTTAGGAACCTTGTTTCAGAAAACATAAAAAAAAGATAATTAGTTACCTTAATGAATCTTATCATGTTTCGGTGGTTGACAGGATTCAAATGAAAATAAAAGAGTTCACATAAATGTAAAAATACTGTATTGTAATTCGCAAAACATCAACTTTTATTCTTGTAAGCCCCAAAAAGAAGACAGTAAATAATACTATAGAATACAACTATTGTAAACTTATAAAAAAAGATTCAGTAAATAATATTTTAGAATAAAACTGTTATAAGTTTATATTAAAAGAGTTCGATGAATAATATTGTTGAGAAAACTGCTGTAAATTTATATAAAAAGGTTGAATAAATAATATTACAGAGGGAAACTGCCGTAGCTTATAAAAAAATAATTCGTGGAATAACATTGTAGAAAAAAGTGCTGTAAGCTTATAAAAAGTGGTTAGTAGTAACCCGAATGATACTTCTATTTCGACTAAGTTTAAGGTTAGCTGTATGTTTTAGTAAAAGAATGGTAGGTATAAAATGTTTTAAAAACATATTACCAAAGAGCCTACGAAATTTTCTCTAAATGTTACCACGTATAAAGCAGAGTTAAAAACACGTTAATTTATTTATGAACCATTTGTTTTCTTAGGAAAGGGGATTTTTTTTTCTACCTATCATGGACTTCAAAACCCGATAACAGACGTTGATCAAAATGTAGATTGAACTGGATCTCCCTTGAACTTAGCCTTCGAGATTAAACAATTTTCGGAATATCATGGACTTGCCAATTATACAGTATTCAAACACTCATTTAGAAATGTAACAAAATTAGTCATGAAAAAGGAAACTTACAGCAGCGTAAGTATATTAATCACATACAAGAGCTTCGGTTATTTTTGTACAGTTTTCCAGCTTATTTCTCTGTAGCATGGGAACGAAATACAGTTCAAGGTTGTTGTTTTTTCATATATATGTAAAGTAGCTTACGAAATATATAAATGCTAGAATAAACAATTATAGAGTAAAGACTCCTTTTTTTAGAAGGGTGAAGATATTAAATTAGAAAGATCTGTTTGTTCACAAATTAGACTAAACGGGTAGACAACTCCATGACTCAGACAAAGCTGTTCCTAATTTTGAGCTACAAACCAGGGTCAAGGAAATAAATTGACAGTACCAGCCGTCCGAAACGGCTACTCTTAACTGAAGAGCGTGATTGAATGTCACTCTTATAACGCACCCACAACTGAAAGTACGAAGCATATTTGGTAGCACTACGTCTCGAACCCGAGAGTTTCGGATCCCTAGCCTGATGCACTAGCCACTAGACGGCAGTAGGACCAAATTAAAAACAATTCAATGACTATAGGAAATCTATCACAGTTAAACACTGTTTCGTGCTGCGTTTGAGGACGCTCACATTTAAATAAGTTTGAACCTGTTCGAGCTACTTTTCGTTAAGATGTATGTAGTAAGTAAGCTTCTATCCAAATATTTCAAGGTCACCTTCAGAATCTATTATATTAGCAAAGTCGCAAGCCTTTCTAAGAAAGAATAGGCTAAATGCACAGAGTCACAAAATGAAATCGATCCTATAGCATCTGCGGTTGTTATTCACGTGGAAGCCTTCTTGACAAACGCATGTCGAAATCACGCTCTTGACAAACGCGTTTCGTAATCACAAACTTGCATATGCATAAAAATAGTAACTTGTTCAAGCTCCATGTAAAAAAAAAAAATGTATATATATATATATACATAAAACTTTAGATTTTAGTCTTGGCCAGCACAATCGAAAGCAGTCATATATTTTACGACTATACAGTTATTTAAAACTCTTCGGTGATATAGAATATAAAAACTCTTTCAAGACTACAAAAAAGTATAGAATCGCACAGATATATATATATATATATGTGTGTGTGTGTGTGTGTTTGTGTAATCAAATGATATAAGTTTAACAAAATTGTAATCAACATTAAAAAAATTAACTTGTTAAAAACAAACATATAAGAAAGATGTTACACTCTAATGTTTTTTATTGTTATTCGTAGTTTTTTTCGCGCAAAGCTGTGAAATTGGCTATCGAGTTCACCGCGGGGACTCGATCCCCATTTTAGGGTTATAAGTCA